AAAAAATGTAGGAGAAAACCTGTGAAACCTAGGACCAGTTAAATGTGTTTAGACATGACACCAAAAGCACAATCCATAAAAAAAAAAACAAATTGATAATTGAACTTGACCAAAATTTAAAATCTTACTCTGCAAAAGACCCTATTAAGACGAAAAAAGGGGGCACCTGGGTGGCTCAGTCGGTTGGGTGTCTGCCTTCAGCTCAGGTCATGATCCCACAGTCCTGGGATCAAGTCCCGTGTCCAGCTCCCTGCTCAGCGGGGAGTCTGCTTCTCCCTCTCCCTCTGCCTGCCACTCTGCCTACTTGTGCTCTCATCTCTCTGTCAAATAAATAAATAAAAACTTTAAAAAAGAAAAAAAGAAGACAAAAAAAGACGTTACAGACAAAGAGAAAATATTTGCAAACAACTTATCTAACAAAGGACTGTATCTAGAATACATAAAGAACTCTCAAAACTCAACAGTAAAAAAAAAAACAAAGAATCTGATTATGTAACAGACAAAAGACATGAATAGATGTTTCACGAGGATATGTGAATGCAAATAAGCACGTGAAAAAGTGTTCATCATCATTAGCTTTTAGGAAATGCAAATTAAAACCACGATAAGATATTACTACCCACCTATTAAAACTATGAAAATAAAATATAATAACAAAACCAAATGCTGATGAGGATATAGAAGAATTGAATCTGTTACAAAGTACTAGTGGGAATGTAAAATGTTACAACTCTAGAAAATATTTTGACAGTTTCTTAAGAAATTAAACATACATTTACCATATGACCCAGCAGTCATATTCCTGGGCATTTATCCCAGAGAAATTTTTTGCTTTTTGTATTTTGAAGATCTCTGATTACTAGTGATACACATTTATGATTGTTATGTCTTCCTAATAAATTGATCCTTTGTCATTATGAAATGCCCATCTTTATCACTTTGTCCTAAAGTCTACTTTATCTGGTATCAATAGAGCTAGTCTAGCCTTCTTATGCCTAGTGGCTGAATGTTATGTCTGTATCCATCCATTTACTTTCAGCCCAACTGTGTCTTTATTTGTAAGCTCACCTCTTGTAGACAGCATTAATTTGGTTTTGTCTTCTTATTAATTTAAAAATCTTTGCTTTTTAATTGGAGTGTTTAGTCTACTTATGCTTAGTGTAATTACTGATATAGTTGAATTTAGATATGCCATTTTATTATGTTTTCTGCTTACTTTTTTTTGTGTCACCGTTTCTCCTTTTCTTCTTAAAAATTATTTTTAGAATTTATTTTAGAATTCATTTTAGTGCCTCGATTGACCTTTTAGCTATTCCTATTGACATCATTTTCTTAGTGATTTCTCTTTATTTGCCATTTGGATATCTTTTTTTATGAAGTACCTATTTCAATCTCTTGTCCATTGTGTTGTCTGCCTAATTCTTATTGATATGTAAGACTTCTTTATGTATTATGGATATAAGACTCTTGTGGAATAAATGTATTATAAATATCATTTCCCGCTAATTGGCTTGACTCTTTGCCTCTCATACTGTTTTTTTTTTAATTAAAATAACTTTTAATTTTGCTGTAATATACTCTAAGCCTTCATTTTCTCATCTGGAAAACAAGAATTATGGTAGTATCTCACAGGGTTGTTAAGAGGAACAGATAAAAGAATGCATGTACTCCTGCCACTTAGCAAAACTCAGTAAATATTATTATTATCCTTAGTGCCACCCTTTTTTCCTCCTTCTAATCTTCAATTTCTTTCCATTTCCTGTGTTCTGAGTATCTGAGAGGTCATATAACGTAGCAGAAAGAATGACCATGTGGCCTTGATCAATTCCTAGCATCTCTGAGCCAATATTTCCTTATCTGTAAAATGGGGGGCTTCATCACCTTTGGGATTCAATTCATTTTTTCCATCCTTTATTGACTACCTACAATTAACACGTGAGATTGGAAACAATTATAGACAGTTCATTCTCACTTTTCATTTCATGACCCCTCCTACTTTTACACATGCTAGCTGGGGAAGAGATGTGAGTACTGCGAGAGGGAAGTAGTTCATTTTAGTGACTGACATCCAGAGAACAACATGCTTGGTCCCCCAGCATGCTTCATCCTCATCCTTCTCTGCCAGCTCACAGGTGAGTCCAGATTCTCCTGTTCTCCTGACTGCCTTCTCCATCCTGAGGTAAACCTCTAGGCTTCTGGGTCCACTCTGGGACTCTGGCCCAACTCAGGAAGCTCTGCTACTTCATTTAATATATTTGTGTAACCTGTGATTTCTAAATCAGAGAACAGGAAGAAACTAGAAGGAGAGGAGAAAGAATGAATCTGGGGACAGCCTCCCCTTCTGACTGTCCCAGGGAAGGAAGGGCTGAAAGAAGGGGTGTTGGGTAGTAGAATGACCTGTGTTCTAATCCAGATTCTGTCATGAATTAAATAAAGAATTTTATCTTCCCTGGGACTTAGCCCTCCTTCCCTTTGAGGGCAACTTTAAGATCAAAATGAGATCATACGGGTGTATATTTATTTATTTATAAATATACATTTTAAATATTTCTACTTAAACATATTTATAAGTATATGTTTAGAAGTGTACTAGAAAATATTTAGGGGCGCCTGGGTGGCTCAGTCGGTTAAGCGTCTGCCTTCGGCTCGGGTCGTGATCCCAGGGTCCTGGGATCGAGCCCCACATCGGGCTCCCTGCTCAGCGGGGAGCCTGCTTCTCCCTCTGCCTCTGCCTGCCTGCCTGCCTACTTGTGCTCTCTCTCTCTCTCTCTCTGTGTCAAATAAATAAATAAAATCTTAAAAAAAAAATATTTAGAAAAATATTTTAAATGGTTATGCATGACAACGATATTAGCAGAAGGAAACATTTGAATTTTCTCTCTTAACTGAACAATTCAATCAGTCTCTACTTAGAAAACCAGCTCACACTGTAGCTGTGAGCTAAACCAGCTCTTCCTTGGTACCATCCCTTAATTCTGGCTGTACTGATGACGTCCCTTCCTCTTAATATAGCTCCTTCCTTCCACTCAACTCTTGAGTCTTGTGGGGGGAGCAGGTGAAAGGGAGGAGGTGATAACCCAGAGGAAAAGGAGGTGGCAAAGGGGAAGAGCTGTTTACCTTCCTGTTATGAAGGGCATCTTAGGGTTGACTCTTTTGATTCCAAAATATCTGAGTCTTGGCCAGGACAGAAGACAGAGGGTCTCCTGCTCCAGCACCCTCCACCTCCAAAGGCAAGTTGGCAGGGAATGATTGCTGCAGGAGATCTCACCATGCATGGTAACTGGACATAGTGTTTTGCTGTGAATTAGCCAGTGAATGGTCTATAGGCATTAGGTTCCAGAACACCTTCTGAAAAGCTCATCCTGCTGAGAAGCCATCCAGAGAAGTTTTGGGAAATCTGTTTCTCACTTCTAGCCATTCTTGAGGAAATGAGAATTAAAAATGAGAAGCCTTCTCAAGGCCTGTTTCATAACACGGCTCCTCGCCCTTCCCTCCCACCTCCTACTGTGTGGTAGAGGGGCTCTGTACTTCTCAAAATGCTTTCAAATCCGTATTCACCTTTCATCCACCCCAAGTCCTGGCAAATAAAGGTTATTTTTCTCTTTGAGAGTTGAGACTCTCCCTCAACTCAACACTATAACTCAAAGTGGTAAATAGCAAGGCAGTAGTAGAAAGAATGCAGGCCTCCGACACAAAAGAACCAACCAGTTTCTCATCCCACATCTACCACTTCCCAATTTGGGACTTTGGGGAAATCATTCAGCATCTCTGGGAGGACACTGGAGCCCCAGTGTCCTCATCCATAAAATGGAGTTTAATTAACCTCTATCTCATGGAGTTACTCTGAGGATAAAAACATGATGCCCATTAAACCAGTTTATGAGCTAAGGAGTGATACCAAGTGTTTGTTACTTATTACGGAGGAACCAGAATGAACCCAGGTCTTCTAACTCCCAGTTAGGCCAGAGCACTACCTCTTTACACTGTTCCATGCTGCCTGGCAGGAGAGGCCATCCCCGCCCCTCCCTGGGTGCAACCCCAAAGCCAACACCAGGTAATCTGGAACCTAATGCCTGTAGACCAGTTACTGGTCTACAAACGGTATGTCCAATCATCACCCAGGAGAATAACTCCTTTTGGGGAATTTAAAGTGGAAAAAGAAGTGACATTTGTGGTGGAATTTCAGGGGGTAGGTGTGGTGAAAGAGGTGGAGACTTTTCAGGGAAGGGCTTTGACCTAGGTTTTATGGATCTTGAATATGATTTGGATGGGTAGAGAGAAGGATAAAGCACAAACAAAAATGTGAGGTACAAAGGAAACTGGGGGTCAGGTAAGGGAGGAGACCTGGTTGCTTGTCTGGTGATAGCAAGTGGTCCCCGGCTTCATATCTTCCCACAGCATCATATGGTCATCTTGCTCTTGGAGCAAAACCCTGGGGTTTCCCAGATAAGTCAACCCAGGTCATGTGATACTGCTGAACTAATTACCATGAGGAAGGCTACCACTTGAACTGGGCTCCTGTCAGTCTTACCTGACACACTTGGCTGCTATAAAATGATGAAAGGATGAAGTGGATGCAGAAAAGGCAAGTTAGGACATTCACTACACTGATCTAGGTGGGAAGGTAGATGAGTTTCATGGGGTCCAATCCTCCTAGGCCTTGTAGGTAGGTGTTAGTAGCCACTCATTCTCTAGAGTCTTTCAATCTTACAGATCACATTCAATCTCTGTATTGTAGGTTCCCCAAGTGCCTACTACATCCCCTTTCATAACACATACAGCCACTTATTTTTTTTTTAAAGATTTTATTTATATATTTGACAGAGAGAGACACAGAGAGAGAGGGAACACAAGCAGAGGGAGTGGGAGAGGGAGAAGCAGGCTTCCCGCGGAGCAGGGAGCCCGATGTGGGGCTCGATCCCAGGACCTGGGATCATGACCTGAGCCGACGGCAGATGCTCAACGACTGAGCCACCCAGGTGCCCCACAGCCACTTATTTAATGGCTATCTCCTAACTCCATGAGTACAAGGGTCAGGATTGTATCCCTCCTTAGTTATATCCTCAGCTCCTAGACAGTGCGTGGCACAAATATGGAACTAAATAAATTCTTGCTAGAGGAAAGAATGACTGAATTAAGAAAACATGACCTACATAGGCAAGGTAAAACTCGATAAGACTGCTGCAGGTGGAAAAGCCATCACAGAATGCGGAACTTCAGGTCAGCCTTGAATAGCTGAGAGAAGTCTCTTGTTTCTGGATCCCTTTTCACAGTCAACTATGGGAAACTCTTTCCACAGAAGAGGAAACAAAACTGGCTAGGACTCATTAACCCCACCCCCTATCGTCTGAACTCACACTTGAGGAATGGCATGGAGCTACTTTCTTCTTTCATGACCCCTCTATTCATCCTATAGATATAAGATAGAAACAATATACTCCCTCTAGGCTTGTGTTGACAATTTGCACTGTGTCATCTTCCACTTTCATCCTAACAAGAAGCAATGAATTTGGAGACATTTTTTAATATTCTCACACAAAATTCACCTGTCTTGGCATTCACCCAGAGAATATAGCACCACATGTCTACAGAAGTGAAAAGAATGATTACCCATGTCTAAATGTGTGCACACATGCTATAGTACTAAAGTCATATCCTTGCAGTTTGCCACCTCCCCAATTTAAACATCTCCCCCAAACCTTGTGTGAAAATCCAGGGTTGCACCTATTTGGAGCCAAGTAATAACCAATCTTTATTTGACTACAAAATATTCACCTTATTGTTGAAGTAAAAGGATGCAAACATTAGATGATCAGTCAAAAATTCAAACTGACACTGACTTTGTAGCATGCACTGGGACTGTTTTGACACCGTTGAAATTGTCAAAGACAGAGCAACTGGAAACCATCCTGCTTTAGTATTTAGGGATGCAGGGGAGCAGCTTTTTGAAAAATCAGATTATTTAACAGAATGATTTAATAAAGACTTGGGGATCCAAAATATATATGCACTGACTAATAGGGGTGAGGAGGCAGAAATGTTCGAAAACAGGAATCAGCCCCCCAAAAGACATTTACCCAGGAGGAGAAGCCAGTACTTTTGGAGACAAATTTAGCAAAAAAAGTTAGTTAAGATCCCAAAACTGTAGGGTCACCCAGGTGGCTCAGTTAAGCAGCTACCTTTGGCTTGGTTTTGATTGCGGAGTCCTGGGATCAAGCCCTGCATCTGGCTCCCTGCTCAGCCGGGAGCCTGCTTCTCCCTCTGCCCCTTCCCCTGCTCAGGCATGTGCACTCTCTCTTTCAAATAAATAGATAAAAATCTTTAAATTAAAAAAAAATCCCAAAACTGTAATCAAGGGACTAGGTCAACATTTGATAACATCAGGATTCCCTTTCTCTGAGGCACTGGTAGAGCAGCTTGTGCTTAAAAGAAGGTCATCTCCGGGTTCCTGGATGGCTCAGTCAGTGAAGCATCTGCCTTCAGCTCAGGTCATGATCCCAGGGTCCTGGGATCGAGCCCCACATCGGGCTCTCTGCTCAACTGGGAGCCTGCTTCTTCCTCTGCCTCTGCCTGCCCCTCTGTCTGCCTCTCTGCCTACTTGTGCTCTCTCTATATATATCAAATAAATAAATAAAATCTTTAAAAAAGAAGAAAGAAAGAAAGAAAGAAAAAGAAAGAAAGAGAAAGAAAGAAAGAAAAAAAAAAGAAAAAGAAAGAAAGAAAGAAAAAGGTCACCAAAGGACATGAAGAGGAAATTGGATTCTGTGAGACACAAGGGCTTCAAGATTGACACCTGAGCCCTCACTGCTGAAAGGGAGTGAGGGAGAGGGCTGGAGCCAGCACAAGGCTCCAGGGCCTTCGAATTGAGCCATAGTGGAAAGACCCCAGGCTCCAGAGAGAGAGTGACATTGAGTTAAATCCTCAAATCATCACTTACTAACTTTGTGCCTTTGGACAAGTTATTTAGGTTTTTTTGAATCTCAGTTTTCTCATCAAATCAGGAGTTAACAAACTTTTGCTGTAAAGGGTCAAATAGTAAATGTTTTAGTCTTTGCAGGCAATATAATCTCTGTTGCAACTACTCAACTCAGCATTTGTAGTGGAAAAGCATCAATAGATAATATGTACATGAAAGAACATGGCTGTGTCCTGGGGCACCTGGCTGGCTCAGTTGGTTGGGCATTCTATTCTTGGTTTCAACTCAGGTCATTATGGGATAGAGCCCCGCAACAGGCTCTGCACTCAGCACGGAGTCTGCTTGTCCCTCTCCCTCCCCCTCTGTTCCTCCCTATCCCAGCTCTCTTGCTCTTTCTAAAATAAATAAATAAATAAAATCTTAAAAAAAAAAAAAAAAGAACATGGCTGGCTGTGTCCAAATAAAATTTGATTTACCAAAATAGGCAGCAGGCCACATTTGGCCCGTGGACTATATAGGTTGCTGATCTCTGTGTGAAAGGATCAAAATTCCTAGTTTTCAGGATTGCTTTAGGTATTAGGCATAATCTTTACAATAAATGTTTGGCACAGAATCAACCCTAATGCATAGTAACTATATTGGGAACTATTTCTGGAGTAGTTGAGTTTTGGGTTTTTTTTTAAAGATTTTATTTATTTATTTGACAGAGAGAGACACAGTGAGAGAGGGAAAACAAGCAGGGGGAGTGGGAGGAGAAGCAGGCTTCCCGTGGAGCAGGGAGTCCGATGTGGGGCTCAATCCCAGGACCCTGGGATCATGACCTGAGCCAAAGGCAGACACTTAACAGGGACTATAGAAATAAATCTCTAGTGAAGCAATTTTAGATATCTGGGTAAGCCAGTACAGGAATTGGTCTCTTGCTAGAAGAGGAATGAGTTGCATCAGTGCCAGGGTGATAGAAAATATGATGGTAAGACTCAACACCAAAAAACCCAAATAATCCAATTAAAACTGGACAGAGAACCAGAGATGCTTTTCCAAAGAAGACATACAGATGACCAGCAAACACATGAAAAGATGCTCAACATCACTCATTATCAGGGAAATGCAAATCAACCACAATGAGATATCAGCTCATACCAGTCAGAATGGTTAATATCAAAAAGACTGTAACAAGTGGTGGCAAGGGTATGGAGAAAAGGCAATCCTAGCACACTGTTGGTGGGAATGTAAATTGGTGTAACCATTGTGGAAAACAGCACACAGTTTTCTCAAAAAGTTAAAAATAGAAATACCCTATGATCCAGTATTTCCACCACTGGATATTTACCCAAAGTAAACAAAGACAGTAATTCAAAAAGATATATGCACCCCTGTGTTTATTGCAGCATTATTTATAATAACCAATATTTGGGAGCAGCCCACATGTCTCTCAATAGATGAAGGGATAAAGAAGATGTGGTGTATATACACAATGGAATATTACGCAGCCATCACAAGGAATAAAATCTTGCCATTTCCAACAACGTGGATGGACCCAGGGGGTATTATGCTAAGTGAAATAAGTCAGGCAGAGAAAGACAAATACCATATGATTTTATTCATATGTGGAATCTAAAACAAAGAAACAAACAGACTCATAAATACAGAAAGCAAACTGGTGGTTGCCAGACGGAAGAAGGGGTGAGGGGATGAGTGAAATAGGTGAAGAGGTTGAAGAGGTACAAACCTCCAGCGATGAGATAAATAAGTCACAGAGATGAAAAGTACAGCACGGGGAATAGAGTCAATAACGTTGTAATAACTTAGTATGGTGGCTACACTTATCATGGTGAACACTGCATAATGTATAGAATTGTTGAACTACTATGTTGTACACCTAAAACCAATATAATTATTGTATGTCAACTATATTTCAATTAAAAATATATGATAACAAATCAAGCTTTGACATGAAAGAGAACCTGGATGCTTGGTCAGCCGCACAGAGCCAATTAGACACAATGTCCGGGGCCCACAATAGTTCAAATTTCTTTCAGAATCAGAAGAAAAATAAATATAATAATAATAATTAATATGTAATAATGAATGCAGCTGGCATTACATTCATTTTTTACCAATGCAGTCATAAAATATAGTTTTTAATATTTTTTATGGATGAAGGACCAAGGCAAAAGTGAATACAGCCTACAAAAGTCATAGTGCAGCCTAGCAGCTGCCTCATTATAATACAACTGTCAGGAGCCTATAGCTTGTTGCTTTGTTAGAGTTTAAAAAGATTTTCCTGGGGCACCTGGCTGGCTCTGTTGGGGGAGCATGTGACTCTTGATCTCAGCGTTGTGAGTTTGAGCCCTATGTTGGGTGTAGAAATGACTTAAAAAGATTTTCCTTGTTTCTTCTTTTTTTGTGCTTTCCATGATGGAATTAATAAAGTTTCTCTTAGACATTTCAGCATGATGCATTATGTTAAGAGGTAGAAGGGAAAATAACTGGGTTTTGTACTTGTATGGAGAACACCTATAAGAAGACTTGGGTTCTGGTTTTAGTTTTGCCACTATTTGTGATCCTTGAATACTTTTTCTCAATCTCTGTTGTTTGTTTTTCTCATTTGTAAGCAATGATGGATGGGGCCTTGATCCTGTGGGTACTGATGTGGGCTCTGCCTCTTACTGACTGTGTACTTCTAAATTTCCTTTCTGCTCTGTGCTATCCCGAGTCTGTCCCTCAGATCTTAACAGGTAGAAGACTCATTTCCCACACTTGCTCACTGGAAGTGCTCTGTGGGCCACTTCTGGAAGCTTTTTCATAGCCGTTCTTAACTGTTTTCCACCTGGAACCACATAACCAGTGGTGGTTGTTTATAAGTCATACTTTTTAAAGTGAACTAAGATTGCGGTGAAACAAAAACTTCTTGGGGGCAGTGAACCCCTACTACAACTCCTAATAGTTGGGGGTGAGCATCACGAGTCAGTCTAGGCATACTGCAGAGCGTCCAGTGCTCTTTTGCCTTTCCACTCAAGGAAGGACACTGAAATTAAAGTGAATGAGAACCTCACTCAGGGATGATTTCACACTCTAATCTACCATAAAACAGAAGATGAAACACCCGCAAGCTTCCCAGCTATTGTTATCATTAAGAACTTAGAGCTCCCTTCCCAGTGTCCTGATCTCCTCTTGAGAACCACTGCCCCTACGCCAGGCAAGCTGCTGCTTCTGCATCTGCATCAAAGTCAGCTCTCCAGGAGCAATCTGGGAGTCCAAAGGGAGGACTGGACAGTAACCTCCCCACGTGTCCCCTAACAGGAACTTGTCCAAGATGGAGCTGGGCCTCATGACCTACCTCAGAGCATGGTCTTTCCAGCCTGAGGTCTCTGGGAAGGGGTGGGTTCCCCTGCAGTCCCTCCTTTCAGGCAAAGCATTCTGACCTCAATGCCTTTGTGTGAGTGAGGTTTCAAAGGACTTCCCAGGGGCTGGTTGGGTTGGCCCCAGAGGGTTTCTTGGGACCTTCCCAGGACCCAAAACAGGTGAGTAATTGGTGGCAAGGACAGGGACTTAGGTTTGTTTTATGGTTCTCTGTGTCTGCAGGGCCAGCAACCTCTGGAGCTCCAAAAGAACTGGTTGGTGACCTTGGTGGGTCTGTGACTTTCCCTCTGAAGCTCCCAGGAATTCAGATTGACAGCCTTGTCTGGATCTTCAACACAACCCCTCTCATCACCATAGAGCCAAAAACACCAGACAAACACGCCAATGTCATAGTGACCCAGAGTCATAACAAGGAAAGGCTGGACTTCCTACATGGAAACTATTCCCTGAAGCTCAGCAAACTGGATAAGAGTGACTCGGGTGATTACCGCGTGGTGATATACAGTTCTTCCCTCAAAGACCCCTTCATCCAGCAGTATGGACTGCGTGTCTATGGTGAGCAGAATTACTTCCAAAGGTGGATGACTGCCTTCACAAAGTGGTAAACTCTCTGATATTGGAGATGTCCAAGCAAAGGTTGGATACACATTTGGCAAGAATGTGGAAGAGGGAACTCCTGCATGGATGAAGTAAATGTAGCTCACCCCTCAGGCCTTTTCCTACTCAAAGATTCTGCAAGAGGCAATGCAGTGTAGAGGATGGGTGATAGGGGAAGCAGTGATCACACAAGTCAAATTCTGGCTTCTCTACCTACTAACTGCGTGGCCTTAGCCAGGTTACTTAAGCTCTGTGAAATTTCATTTCCATATCTGTAATGGGGAGGAAGGTGATACCTATCTTAGAAAGATTATTGTGTATGAACATCAATTATACCTCTTTCCCTACAGATTCCAACCAATTGAAAAATCCACACAAGAATCAAAAGGAAGATAGAAATATCAGCTTTATTTTTTCTGGTGAAGCTAGATAGGAGAAATGTTTTCCCCCAAAGTCTAGACCTTGGAGCCCATTCAGGGAAGATGAACTTACAAAACGATTGTTCAACCAGTTACAAGAATAGCTGCCTTACTCACGGAGCTGTAGGATCAGGGACACCCAGAGATGGGCCTCCAGGTTTGCCCTTAAGAGTTAGGCCATGTACCTTGATCCAGGTGTGTCCTCCATATAGACATAGTTGAAAGGAACAGAGGTTATGCAATCAAACTAGCTGGGGGAGGGAGAGAAGGGCAAACCACATTTAGACAGCAATCTTAACAGCTCGAAATAGAGAAAGGTATTAAAGAAATGATGTTGGATGTCAGACTCTTTCCATCTCATCAATGAACCGATTGCTCATCCTCTCAGGGAGAACAATGAGCATGAGAAAGAGAGGAGGGCCAGAAATATTATTCCCATACTATTCTCTCCTGGAGAGTAAAGTGAAAGTCTCTTCAAGGAAGCCTGAAGACAGAGGAAATAGGGAGCCTCTAAAAAAGATAAAATTAGCTTACATCTAAAATGCATCTAGCACAAGCCTGGCCATATAGCTTTGCTTCAAAAATGGCAGCTGCATTCTTGTTGAATTATTATTATTATTTCTATTGTTACTGTTGTTTTTATATAACTAGGAAAGCCAACCTAGACAGTTCTCTTTCCCAGATAAGAATGAGAATTCTGCTCTGAATCGCTTCTTCCTCTCCACTCTGTAGCACCCCAGAGATTCAGGTCCAAGGTTTACAAGAATAACTCAGAAAAGGCATAGTTTCCACACTTGGTTGTCTGTTTCTCTTTTGCAGAGCACCTGTCAAGGCCCAAAGTTACCATGGGTCTGCAGAACAATGAGAATGGCACCTGTGTGACTAATTTGACATGCTTCATGGACCAGGGAGGAGAAGATGTGACCTACAGTTGGGAGTCCCTGGGGCAGGCGGCCAATGAGTCCCATAATGGCCCCATCCTCCCCATATCCTGGAGGCTGGGAAAAAAGGGCATGACCTTCATCTGTGTGGCCAGGAACCCCATCAGCAGCAATTCTTCAAACCCCATCTTTGCCTGGAAGCTCTGTGAAGGTGACGGTCTCTCCTCTCTCTCCAGAAGCCTCTGTCTCAGGACCTATACCTTCTTCAGCTCCTGGTCCCCATGGGAACAGCCCATGAAAACTGGAGGCCCCTGGGAAGTCACCAGCCTGGGAGGAAGGTGGCAGTTGCTCCACAAGTTGCATCATTTTCCCTAGCTGACTCTTCTCTCTTCCCTGTGCCTCTACCCATTCTCTCATTAAAGGTGCTGCTGCTGACTCAGAATCCTCCATGGTCCTGTATGTCCTGTGGGTGCTCTTCCTGTTCAGTGCCTTTGCCCTGGTGCCAGTTATTCTAATTATGCGAAGAGAAAGAAGAAAAGGTAGAGCATGCACGATTTTTGCCTTCAGCCTCATTCATGCATTTGCTCCCTAATTTCTTCAAAAAACATATGTTGAACTGTGCACTGGAATTGCTACTAGGCACTAAGGATACAGAAATGAAGAGGCCATATTCTGTGTACTCAAGGAGAACACAATCATCTTGCACTCCTTAATTCTGGAGTAAGAGAGTGCTTGAGTCCATAACCTATCTTCTAAGTCCAAAGTCCTCCTAGTTCCCTCTCCAGTGCTCACCCCTCTCTTTCCCCCAAGAGGGACTTACCGGTGTGGTCCTCCTACTGACACAAGCCTTACACTGCTGACTGTGTTCCTCAGACCTGGGAGGCGATGGCTTCCAACTCTGAGGTCCCATACACCAACACACTCCAGTCAGCCCTTCCAGTCCCTATCCCTGGTTAGAGCCCCCAAACCATACCCAGTCCTCCTCATTGGATCGACTCCAGAGACCTCTCTTTACTCCCCATCTCAGTCTAGACACACTCTTCCTGGAGAAGTCTATGTCTGTCTCTCTCCATGCCAAACACCATGCTCTGCATCCCTAAACCCTCCTACTGATTTTTTCTTCTCAGCTTCCCTGATACTGTCCATGTGGAGAATTGGGGAGGGACCTAAGCATCAGTTGTGTATAAACTGTAGGTGTTAAGATCTTTCCTCCCTCTTGAAAGCACTCTGAAAGTGTTTCTGACCCTCTCTTCTTCCCCTTTGGCTGCGTTGGTCCAGAAATTGGGAAGTGAAGAAACCAGGGTAAACAGTTCATTATGGGATTTCCCTGGGTGTAGCACGGAGAGTCCCATGTCCCAGAAACCAGCATGGTGGTCAGTTGTAGGGAAACCAGCATGGTGGTCACCCTAAATGGGTCTTCCAGGGGGTAGGCTGGTGGGGGTGGTGAATCAAAGGAGGGTCAGCTCTAATTTTCTCCCACCTTGGTTTCAGAGTCCATTGAAGAGAAGAAGGGAATAGATACTCGTCAGGAAGTTCTTAACTACTACCCTCCTTCTGGAGAGACTCCAGTGTATGACACAATCATCTGCGTTAATGTGAGTCCTTTCCCATCTTTCCTGGGACCTGATCTTCCTCTCTAAGGCCCTCCTTACTTTAGTTGAGATTTCTCTGTGGACTTGGGCAACATGGAATATGAGGATGTATAGCCCTTGAAACCCAACACACCTGTGTCTCCTTAAGTCCTTATGAATACTTTCTCATGCAGGAGTCAGTGACCTCTGGTTCTGAGCCCCTGGTTCTGACCCAGCCAGTAATGCTCACTCTGTGATCTATGGAATCTTCTCTTCCCTCTACAGCTCACAAGGGTCACTCAACAAGCCAAATTCCTTTTGCAAAGCACAGCAGGTAGGGAAGTGTGACTTTGGGCTGATGTTTGAGTTACGGTGTCAGAACACTGGCTATAGAGATGACTTTTCCATCAGAAGGCTCTAGGCCCACACTCAAGGCTTTCTAGGCATGTGTCACCAAGCTGAGGTAAATAAACACATTGTCAATTCAAAGGAAACTCTTTGAAAAGAAGATGATAAGAATAAAGTTTAAAGAAACTCAAATAATAAGACAATTTGGAGACATGACCTAGATAGACAACTTTGAAAGGTCGCCAGGAATCACTGTAGCCCCAGCTGGGCTAGCTCCTTAGAGGCCATAGAGCACTTTTCCACATTGGCCCATTTACTGAAAAAAATAAAAGCACTTTGGGGCCTCAGAATGCCAGCTTCAGTGCAGCCCTTGGTGTTTCAGGTTGCGTCTTCCTGTGTTTACCTACAACTTTCCTGAGAGGAGACGTTATACTTTCTTTTGAAGCTGTTAGTGTCCTGAGAGCTCCTTTCTGCCTCACAGGAGACTGCTCTGGGCTCCACACAGCCTGGCTTATGTCAAAACCGATTGCTTTATCACCATCCTCCTTCTTCTCTGCTCAAGACACACTCCCAGGAGACCACAGGACTGTCCCGGATGTTCAGGAAGAAACTTCACTGACCCAGGATACTTTTCTCCAGCCTGGAAGTTGTTTTTGCTATTGCTGCCATAGTTTTATTGTTTTGACCCATCGGTCGTCCTCATATATTTGCTCCAAGGGCCTTTTAAGCTAATAGAAAAGTTTACTTGCAACATTAGCAATATTACTTCAAATTATCCTTCAATCACCTTAGGCTGCTCCTAGCTCATGGGACTTCTATATCTTATACATTTTTAAATTTATTTAAACACAACACAGTTTAAAAATCAGGCAATTGCTTCTTGCACTCACCAACAAGAGTTCCTCCCTCTTCCCCATTCCTGGTCCAGAACCTCTCTTTCTTCTTGCCCTTCCTCCTAGCTCTGCTTTCCCTTCTGGATTCTGGGTGTCCCTTTGGGCTTGTCTAGGTGACCCTATGATTTTTTTTTCTCTTTTTAATAGAACACTATTCCAGAGGAAAATCTAGTAAATGCACTTTATTCCTCTGTGCAAATACCTCAAAAGGTAAGAAGCTTTAGAGCTGAGATTCACCTTACTTGTCTCATTCTTTTTCCTGGTTCAAGCTTAGCTGAAAATGTCTTGGGCCCCAACGTTCTTGTATTCTCTGATATTAAAAGTTTTCCCAGTACATCCCCATTCCCTTTGCTTAGGGTTACACAAGATGTATGGAATAAATGAGAATTATGTTTTCGGAGTTGAATGGAGTAATATGGAATAAATAGAGAGGGAGAGAGGTTCTAGGTAGGGATGATCAAGAAAATCAGTAGGATCCTGAGGATTTGGATGGAGAAAAGTCCATGGCTTGGGCTGTGCCTCAAAGGGGAGGGATTGCTGGGGAGACAACTCCAGCTTGCTTCTGAGCCACCAATAAGCTGCAGGCAGGAGAGATTTCTGTTACTTTTCTTTGGTCTAGCTATGTTACATCTGGTTTGCACCCTTTCCCCAAACTACTCATGTGCTAAGCTTTAAAGCTTATTCCTTCACGTTTCACACCTGGCAGAAGCAGTGAGACCTTCCTGTCTCCCCTCCCAGCCAGATCAGAAAAGATAAGAATGAGCAAAACAGTTTGCATAGTAGTAGGAAAGTAATAGGATTATTGGAAGTAAAGTTCAGTTCATTAAGCATTCAGCAAAGTAAATGTGGTTTAACCTTAAGTAATAGTTTCTCTATAGCGAGAGGTTTGGGTTGGGTGACCTTGGCAAGGAAGGGTGTCTGGGATGGTGGGGTCTCCTGGTGGGATCCAGCACCTTCCCACCTCCAGCAATCTGCATCTTTTTATCTGCCTAACAGATGGAGAAACCCCACTCTCCACCCACATCACCAGACACACCAAGGTTATTTGCCTATGAGAATGTGATCTAAACAGCAGTGCATCTCTTCTGCCTTGCCTCAAAGAAAATTAAAAAAAAAAAAAAAAAATCACTGAATTGACCAGAAATATTGAGGAAGAATGAAGAACACTGACTTCCTTCCAGAATAACTATCTTCTATGCTCCTTCAGATTTGAGTTCCTAATTCCATCCTCTCCTGAGAAATCTCCTCAAACCCCAAATGTGTAACTATCCTTTCCTGGAAATGTTACTGTGAGTTTATCAACCAACTCCAAGCAAGAGGCTTAGAAGTATCTCTATTGAAATGTAAATGCGCTGTCCATCATATGAATGACAACTCCCATTCCAGAGCTTGGAGATCCAAACTAGACCAAGAGTCTGGTGGCCAAAAGAGTGAGAACATAGGAATGGCAGATATTTCCAGAAAAAGCAGATGTAGCAGCCAGAAATGGATTCATTAACCAACTCATTACCTATGTGCCTGGCACTGTGCTGAGCTTACACTGATTTTGCTCAGGTGTGCTCTCTGCTTTCATGAAATTGGTTCCTCATGAATGACTTCTGTGAGCATTAGCAGCACATCTGATCACAAATGCCCAATAACCAGAGTCAGCTGTGGAGCCATAGGACTTGGGAGCCAAAGTGCGTAAGGACAGAGAAGCCAGGCAGAAGACAGGGTTTGGCTGGATGGATGCTCCAAAGTGTGACTGACCTGAAGACAAGAACCACAGCCTCAGCTTCATTTACACTCTGTGCAGCAAGTGAGAAGCCAGGGCCATAGGGCCTGTTCAGAAGCCCATTTCAAAGGAGAAACTGAACCTGAAGACACATTTAGAATCTATTATAAAAGACTTGGAATTAGGGGTGATTGTGTGTAAGTATTTAAAGTCTCATAATCCATTCAACTAATATTTATTGAAGATCTCTGCCAGGTCAGTCCGGCAAATAAAATAGACATCATGCCTGCCTCCCTTTTTAGAGTTTACCTTTTTAATGAAATGAAAAACATGGGCCGGAGGATGGTTGCTTTTGATATGTTTCTGGACACATCTTTTTTTTTTTTTAAAGATTTATTTATTTATTTGAGAGAGAGAGAATGAGAGAGATAGAGAGCACGAGAGGGAAGAGGGAGGGTCAGAGGGAGAAGCAGACTCCCCGCCGAGCAGGGAGCCCGATGTGGGACTTGATCCTGGGACTCCGGGATCATGACCTGAGCCGAAGGCAGTCGCTTAACCAACTGAGCCACCCAGGCGCCCTTTCTGGACACATCTTGAATGAAGATATTGGGAAGGGATCTGATGCCCCAGGTCTGAGGGGTGTAAACTGTCAAATGACAAAACTAAAACAGTTTTGTTTGAAGTCCTTTATTCAAAAGAAAGTAACAGAATGGATTGGGGGAGCACAGTGACTCAGAAGCAGTGGAGTAGTCTTCTCAAAGGGTTTCGGGCAAGACCAAGTTTTACAAAGCATTAGAAGGGGCAACACGGAAACAGGGCACAATTGGTGAGGAGGGTGGAGATTTCCTGAGTAAGGTGAACCTCCCCAAAACAGGTGAGTTTTCTAAGACAACCTTCTCCCACTGCTATCCACATCTCACAACCTCTTGCAAGGAGCTGGTTGCTTTCATGCAAAGTAAACTTTTTCATTACATAAAAAATGAAGAATCAGCCCTTAAAAGAGAGGTGACTAGTGTAGGGGAGGAGAAATTGTCCCTTCTTCCTTTCTAGGTTCTTTGGCTGGTATAATAATTAGATTGACAAAAAGACAGATTAACGGGTGAAAAAATTCAATTTCATATGTATGAGAGCCCCATACTTTACATGCCTCACATGACTCCCACAAGGCAAGCTGGTCTGGGGTACTTATGTCCATTCTACAAATGTTGAAACTGAAGCAAAGAGAAACTTCAGTATGTGACCAAAGCTAGAAAAAAAAGCAGTGCCCATTCTACCACCCATCATCCATCACAGAGGGTAAGGAAGATGGGAGCTCAAAGCTTGAGATGGGTGGATCCCCCTCTTTCCAAGTGTATCATGGAGGAAAGGACATAGTTTTGGAGACAAGCAGGCCTGGAGTCAAAAGCCCTTACTAGCACAGTGACCTATGCCAAAGACTTGGGTTCTGTGAGCCTCTGTTTTCTTATTTCTAAAACCCCTATAGGGCTTGCAATGTGGGATTATATGAAACAAGTGTAAGTGCATGATATGTAGTAGAAGTTTCATATATGGCTCATGATGCTTAAGAAAGGGAATAATACAGAAGAAAAAATGGTTAACTTCCCACAAGTCAACTTAGCATAAGATACAGAAGCATTAAAATGAAGAATCAGCCCTTAAAAGAGAGGTGTCTGGTGTAGGGGAGGAGAAATTATCCCTTCTTCCTTTCTAGGTTCTTTGGCTGGTATAATAATTAGATTGACAAAAGACAGATTAACAGGTGAAAAAATTTGATTTCATATGTATGAGAGCCCCATAAAAAATATGAGACTCAAAATCAGTCAAGCAGGGGCGCCTGGGTGGCTCAGTCGATAAGCGTCTGCCTTCGGCTCAGGTCATGATCCCAGGGTCCTGGGATCGAGCCCCGCATCGGGCTCCCTGCTCCGCGGGAAGCCTGCTTCTCCCTCTCCCACTCTCCCTGCTTGTGTTCCCTCTCTCGCTGTGTCTCTCTCTGTCAAATAAATAAAATATTTAAAAAAAAAAAAAGTCAAGCCACTGAGGCTTTTATACCATCCTGAGCTAAGGAAACGGGTAGGGGTCTGAGGTTTCAAAGGGGAGGAAGACAATTCACAGGAGGATGAGAAGAACAAGTGTTTTGTACACAGTGTTTGCCCTGCCAGGCAGATAATCTCTCAGATGAAAACATTACCTCTGGTAGTGGCCTTCTTTCTGGTACAGGCCTCCTTTCTAAATTTTATTAGGTAATTAATGGAGAGGCAAAAAGCTTTTTCTGAGTCTGCTGGGTCTTGATTGACTTCAGCTCAAAATAATCCACATGCCAAAGTGTGGGTGATATATTTTGGGGTGGTCTATTCTGCTCCCCTTCAATGGTGTTAAAAAATGATTAACAAAAAGTAGGTAATACAAACAAACTTTATTAAACACTTAATGAAGTGAGCAGTCTCCATTCGGAGATGTGCAAAATGGGGCAGAAGCCTGGAAGACTTTATAATATAAAGAATAAAGAATGAGGAAGAGAAAAATAGAAAATATCTGAAGAACTAGAGCCACAAAATCAGACTCATTTGGAGTGAAAAGGTCCCAAGTTGGCTTGGCATTTGGAGATTAGTTGACTGGAAATACCACTGGGTTTCTGATCAAACAGAGCATTTGCAGGGACACAAAAGTCATCCAAGTTTCGGTTTGCTTACATGGCACCTTGGACAGAAGTGGTCCATTTGGACCTAGAAATTTATCTCAACACTGACTCATAGCAAAGGGGGCAGGAAGAGTGGGAGAAATGGGAATTTATTTTCCTCCATGTTGAAAGAACTTAAAAACAATGCTTCCTGGGCAAGAATGGGATTGAGAACCATATTGTCTCAAAAAGATACTGTGAGACTTACATACAAAAATATGCATTATTTTGCCATTTGTTATAGTGATATTCTGGAAACTACCTAAGACTCTAACCACAGGGGAAGGTGAAGTGAACACAGACATTAGGAATTACGGGTTATAAAGCTAGAAAATGTAATGACTTTGAAGGGTAGTTGAGTGTGCCACCCCAAAATATGCCTCTTAAGCATAAAGATTATGTTCAGTTGATTATTTTAAAGAAACAACAGATGCAGGAGAAGATCCTTTGTCCCTTTTGGAAGGGACAATTACATTTACAAAGGAAATCTCCATATGTACAGGTGTCTCCCTCATATACCAGAAAGAGAAGGATGACTCTGAATTACAAAAGAATCTTATCAGTGGAGGAGGCACCAACTTAAATCTACATGACAACTACACCTTTGTTGTACTTTTCCTGATAACTTCCCATAAAAAGCTTCCCCCTCAAAACTTCTTTCTTTTGCCTTTAGCTGAAGATGGTATTTAAGATGGTGGCTTGGGCCATTTGGGGGAGTTTTACTCAGTTTCCTGGGTATCTCCCATGTATACAGGAGGTATACATGTTATTAAACTTGTGGGGTTTTTTTTTTTTCTCTTGTTAATCTTTTGTTACGGGAGGTGGAGGGTCTCAGCCACAGAATCTAGAAAGGTATAAGGAAGATTATTTTCCCTCCTCTACAATATCACAAGTGAAGGAAAGTAGAAAGTGAAATTTAATGTGCTGTATGATTACAACTACATTTTTAAAACACCAATGCAAGGGAAAACTTAGAAGAAAAAATATCAAAATATTAATGCTGGGTTTTGTGGGGCAGGTGATATCTTAAGTGGCTTGGTTTTCTTCTGCTTGTCTTAATTTTCCAAAAGTTCTTTAATGAGAAAGAATGTATTACATAATGGAGTGGAAGAAATTTTAAATAAGTGTTCAGTGAGTATAAAGAGGTGTGACCCACTGTGAGGAGTTCAGGGGAAATTCTGAGAGGCCCCCATCTTGGGGGTGGGAGGCGTGCAGTGGGGGAGAATGGAAAGTGCCTCCTCCCAGTGAGAATGGGGTGGGAAGAAGAGAGAAGCCCCTAGAACGTGATGATCAGAGGAAAAGATTAGTCTGCCTCAGAGTGGGTGGTTTGAGGTTGGGGGAGCTTCAGAGCAGACAAAGATTTGGAGGGGAGACTAACAACTGCCAGGGTTTAGAGTGAATCTGTGCCTTACCCCCTCTCCTTTAAGCCAGTCCAAATGGTGAAATAATTAGAATTAGCTCCCCTTCCCTCTTTTTAAACCAGTAACAAAATCAAGCCCAGGAATACCCCAACAGATCTGGAGTCTGGATTCTCAGCAAGAACTTTCCCAAATCCATGTGCAGAAAAAGCCTTCACCTCATGAGCTCAACCAGCAGGTAAAGGAAACCACCAGCTTGTTAGGGCAAGAAACCACATTTCACATCAAGATCCATCAAATGCAGCACCCAAAGCTGTGTGTTTTGGGGTTTATGAGTTGCTAATACAGCTCATAAATACAGAATCTTTGGTGGGGGAGAAAAGAAAGTGTCTGTACCATGTCAGGCAGGTATTCACTCAACCATGCACACATTCATTACTTACTCATTCAGCAAGATTTATTGAGCACCACTAAGTACCAGACACTGTGCTGAACACAGAAAACAGAGCAGGGACCAGAGGTCTCTGTCCTTGGGGTGCTTAATTCTAATGAGAGAGGCTGTGATATTGAGAGATAATAATAAATATAGATTTGGTTTTCCTCCCAGTTTCCTTCCACACAGCTCCTAAATTCCCTGGCATCTTCAAAGAGATAAGTATCTTTTTGTATGCTAATGAGGTGACAGGTGGGCTGGTTGCCAGGAGAACCAACAAAATGATTAGAGGGTTGGAACTTCAGCCCCATTTTCCCCAAATTCCCTACCTCCTACCCCCAACATCCAGGGGTGGGAGAGAGGCTGGAGATAAAGTTCTGTCACCAATGTCCAATGATGAATCAATCATGCCCACATAATGATACCTCCATAAAAAGACCCCAACCAGAGGGGTTCAGAGAGCTTCCAGATTGGTGAGCACATGAAGGTGCTAGGAGGGTGGTATACCTGGAAAAGGCATAGAAGTTCCACACCCCTTCCTATATACTTTGCCCTGTCCATTTCTTCCATTTGACTATTCCTGAGATGCTTCCTTTTATAATAAACCAGTAATGTAGTAGGTAAACTGTTTTTCCTTAGTTCTGTGAGGCATTTTAGCAAATTATTGACCCCCAGGAGAGAGTTGTGGAGCCCTTAGACTCTACTGGGTTGGTCAGAAGTATGGCAGGCCAAGACTTACAATTAAAAAAAAAAAAAAAAAGACGCATGGTGTAAGGGTAACCTATAATGGGGGCTGTTACCAGGATCAGGGAAGGCTTCTCCCACACAGTGATGATTGAGCAGAGATCTACAGGTGAGTAGGAGCTCCTTACAGGAAAGGAGAGCTTAATCAGAGGGCAGAGCCTGTGCAAAGACTCTGGACATGGTGAGACCTGAAAGGAAGAAAATCAGTTGTCTGGACCAGAGGAGTTGTGCTTTTAAAATTTCAGTGACGGCGGTGGGAGAAACCCATTACAGAGGGTCAAGCAAACCACTTAGATGCAAGCAAACTACTTAGAAGATGTTGGGAAGAAGAATTTCCTCTGCTCTTCAAGGTCCTTCTAGCTGGACTAAGAATCAAATTGACACAGGACAGATTAACAGGAGAAAATCAGATTTAATTTTGTACAAATTAAATCCACATTCGTGGAAATTCCAAAGACAGTCCGGCAAAATGGGGTATATATGTCATCTTGAAATAAGGAGAAGGGGATGGGGCCTAGGACTTCAAAGGGAAGGAAGTCAATTCCCAGGAAGATGAAAAAGAGTAAATGGTAAAAATCAGTGTTTGCTGGGCCATACAGAAAAGTGGAACATAGAGAGGAATTTTAACAGAATTTGCTAAGTTCCTCCCTGTCTGCCACCTCTAGTTCATATTATAGTGTAGTTATCTATGTTTGTCTTCCTGGAGCTGGTCCTCTGTCTAAATCTTGTGGCTGGGGCTTGTCAAAGCTTCTTCATCCCTGAGTCTTTTGGGTCTTGACTGTTTGGAGCTCAGCATAATCGGAATGCCAAAGTGGCTGCCTGAGGGATGGCCTGACACCAGAAATTTCAAGATAAGAATTCCATTTCCTTCCTCCTCTATCAAAAGCAGAAAGAAACTACACACACACACACACACACACACACACACACGCACACGCACACACACACGCACACACAAACGTTATAGATCCCAAATTATTATGAAATCTGATAGTTCTTGGATCTTTAAGAAAAAATGTTCTCAACTCTCATCCATTAGTTATTCATTCAAAAAATATTGAAATATCTACCATAAGCCAAGCACTCTATTGCCATCTGAATTTATGTTGTAAACTAAACAGATAGAGCTCTTGTCCTCATGGAGCTAAATATCTTGTGGGGGAGACAGAAGGTAAGAAAAAAAAAATCCAACAAATAAATATATATTTACAAATTGTGATAATTTGACAAAATTGACCTGGGTAAAATGATTATGAATAAGAGGAAAGATTTGCATAAATAAGGTGGTCAAAAGGCTGCTCCAAGGAGAAGAAATTTAAGTTCAATCTGGGCCCTCTTAGCCCATGTACTTCAATGTTAACAGAATATGAATACATATGTCATAACACTTAATCACCTCACAAACCTTCTTATGTTTCAAACATGCCACTTTTCTTCTTTTTTTTTAAGATTTTATTTATTTAACAGAGAGAGAGAGCATAAGCAGGGGGAGCGGCAGGCAGAGGGAGAGGGAGAAGCAGGCTCCCCGCAGAGCAGGGCTCTGGGATCATGACCTGAGCTGAAGGTAGACACTTAACCGACTGAGTCACCCAGGCGCCCTACAAATGAGCAATTTTTCTTATATGAATAAGCCCTCTTTTCTTTCTGAACACTTTAAAACAATGATTAAATAAAACATAATCAGGTTATTTTAAACAGAAGGTATGTAGCAGTTTCTTGGCGATTTTGAACTGTTTGCAAATGAAATAGGTTTTATGCCTTAAATAGGGATTGATGTCCCTCTCTCGCCAAGAGACTTTGGCAGGTGGTGCCCAGGTACAGAATTCTTCATCTCTGTGTGACACAAGGTGACCCCTCTCACAGTCCTCCTCTTGGCTTCTCCACTTGTCAAAGTCAATCTATTCAATCTGCAAAGCTCCCAGGATCAAAAAAAGAAGAAATTCTTTCTTCAAGGAGCAGGGTAAGAAGGAGGCTGGAATGAAATAATGACCACAGGTTAGGAACTGGGGTAAAAGGCGGGGAAGAGAAGAAAGGGAAGGCAGGCAGGGGGAGGGATTTCCAAGAAGAGAATTCGGAAGAGTGAGTGGGCTGGAGGCCCCTTAAGGAAACTGAATCTAGGGGGTAGAGGTGAACTGCCCTCTGGACCCCATTGAGGGGCAGGGAGAACGTTCGTGTCCGCAGCCAGTTACCATGTTTCCTTGTGCCCCGTTACCCCCAGCACAGGCTGTTCCCAGAATAACTGTCAGATTCACAATTTTCATGCCTATTCCATGCTGTGTACTGGCGATGCAGAGAAGACGAAAATGGGCTTTGGTCTCGTTCCATGGGTAAAACAGACACAGATGAAGGCCCTAATACAACATGCTCAGTACCCCCTCTAATCCTTTAGTAGGCTTAGCTGCAGATCGTGACGATTGTGACTGAGTTCCCTGAGGGGTGGCAATTTATCCAGACCTCTTCTTCACTCTATCCTCAATGCCTAGAACAACACAAGGCACCTTAAAAATGCTCTGGGGGCACCTGGCTGGCTCAGTTGGTGCAACATGCAACTCTCGATCTCAGGGTTGTGTGTTCAAGCGCCACGTTGGGCATAGAGATGACTTACAAATAAAATCTTTTTTAAAAATGCTCTGGGGGCACCTGGGTGGCTCAGTCGGTTAAGCGTCTACCTTCAGCTCAGGTCATGATCCCAGGATCAAGCCCCACATTGGGCTCCCTGCTCAGTGGGGAGTCTGCTTCTCCCTCTCCCCTTTTCCCCCACCTGTGCATGCTCTCTGTCTCTCTGACAAATAAATAAAATCTTTTAAAAAAATGCTCTGTAGGGGCGCCTGGGTGGCTCAGTCGTTGAGCGTCTGCCTTCGGCTCAGGTCGTGATCCCAGGGTCCTGGGATCGAGTTCCGCATCGGGCTCCCTGCTCCGCGGGAAGCCTGCTTCTCCCTCTCCCGCTCCCCCTGCTTGTGTTCCCTCTCTCACTGTGTCTCTCTGTCAAATAAATAAATAAATAAATCTTTAAAAAAAAAAAAATGCTCTGTAAGGGGTGCCTGGGTGGTTCAGTCAGTTAAGCATCTGACTCCTGATTTTGGCTCAGGTCATGATCTCAGGGTCAGGGCATCAAGCCCTACATTGGGCTGCACACTGATCGTGGAGCCTGCCTAAGATTTTCTCTCCCTGTCTCTCTGCTCCTCCCACCCCCCCCTTGCACACAGGCACGCTCTCTCTCTGTAAGGTTATAAAATGCTCTTTCAAGGAATGAGATACATGAGAGACGATGGACTCTGAGAAACAAACTGAGGGTTCTAGAGGGGAGGGGGTGGGGGGATGGGTTAGCCTGGTGATGGGTATTAAGTAGGGCACGTTCTGCATGGAGCACTGGGTGTTACGCACAAACAATGGCATGGAACACTGCATCAAAAACTAATGATGTAGGGGCGCCTGGGTGGCTCAGTTGGTTAAGCGACTGCCTTCGGCTCAGGTCATGATCCTGGAGTCCCGGGATCGAGTCCCGCATCACGCTCCCTGCTCAGCGGGGAGTCTGCTTCTCCCTCTGACCCTCTTCCCTCTCGTGCTCTCTATCTCTCATTCTCTCTCTCTCAAATAAATAAAATATTTTAAAAAAAAAACTAATGATGTAATGTATGGTGATTAACATAACAATTAAAAATTTAAAAAAAAGAACATCAAGGAATGAGATAAATAAGCCGTGAGGATGAAAAGTACAGCATAGGAAATACAGTCAATGATATTGTAATTATGCATGAGACAGATGGTGAGCGCACATATCGCGGTGAGCATTTCGTGATGTATATAAATGTTGAATCACTATGTTATACACCTGGAACTAATATTATATGTTAACTATATTTCAATTAAAATAACAATAATAATGATAAATGCTCTGTAAACAGGAGTTGCTTAAATGAATGAAGAGGGGATCATGTATTTATACACTTGATAGCGGGCAGACACCACAAGATTTTAAGCAGAAAAGTAACCCAAGCATTTCTTTCTTTCAGAACTCACCCCCTAGCAGCGTGATCAGCAGGATGATCCCGGAGGAAGAGAGTGGGATAACCAGGAGGTGTGAGCACCTGGGCAAGTAGCAGTGGAAACCCAGGGTTCTGAATGCCAGCCAGCTTTCTGCCCCGGGCAACAGAAGGCCTGGGCGTGACCCTTAAGGACTGTGATACAAAAGAAGACCCCCTGGGACCCAGCAGCCCAGGACCCTGAGGAGAGCGGCCTAAGAACAACTCAAGTGAGGAGTGGCCCCTGGACTTAGCAATGAGGATGCGGCTGGGGACAGGGCAGACACAAAGGGTCAAAGAGCAAGTGGTTGGTAAGGAACCAGAGACAGGGAGTGGAGAGATGTTCAGAAGCTGGCCGAGAAGAGGAAAGGGACATAGTGAGTCTGGACTGAGACAGTGTCCTGCCACGGCCTGTGGAACCCAGGAGAGGCCGCCCACGACACCGGAGAGGCACAGCCTGGGATTTCTGTCTCACGGCAGCTCCAGGCTTCGCTGAGGACATGGCCAAGGACGTCTGGGATGCCTCCTCAGTGGGCTCTGCAGGACTGTGTGGGCTGAGGGACGCACTTTCCCTCGGGGAGTCCCAAGAGTAAGCCGAGCGCCCGGGCACCAAGTCTGGGGCTGACCGTCGGAAGCTGGACAGCATGGCCCTGGGAGGATGGCCCCAGAGCCCTCATTTCCTGCCCCCCACAGACAGCCCTGCTGCGGACGATCCTGCCCTCCTTTTCTTCCACCACCCCTAGAACCAGGAGGGCGGCAGGTGGGGATGCTGAGCTCCTGGACCGAGGCTGCCAGGGAGGGGGCCCACACAAGGAAGGGGTTACCTGAGCAGAGGGGCCTGGTGGGTATGGAGTTGAAGCTCTGGCTGACCGGGTTGCTGGCCGTGCAGGGATAGCTGTCGCTGACCCCGGGTCTCCAGGAGAGACGAAGAGTGGTTCCCCCATGGGACATAACTGCCCCCTGGCCGAGGGGTGCCCATCTGTACTGAACATCCTCTCCGGCCTGTCACAGGGAGCAGATCAGGGTGATGTAACAGGCCCCATCCTTCGTGATCCGGGAGCTGACAGTGATATTGGGCTCCCGCAGCTTCTCTGTGCAAGAAAGGAAAGTTCGAGCTCTGAGAAGACTCTGGTCTGGCCAAGCAGGGGAGAGAGGAAAGGTCAAAGTTCAAACATGAGCCTTCCACCCCCTCCCTCACCGTAGACATGCAGGGTGAAATCCTTGGTGATGTTGATCGAGGGACTATGCAGGGTGATCCAGGCTCTGTAGAGGCCAGGGTCCTGCAGCCTCAGGGGCCTGATCTGAAGAGAGTAGCCGCGGTAGAGGGCACTCCACCGTCTGCTGTATGGTGCCTGAGTCCCGGCAGCCAGGACCGGTTCGCCTCCTGGCCCCACTTTCATAATGGCAACAAGCTCTCCAGAGCTCCAGGTGACCTTTTCCACCTCCTGCCCGGCCGGGACCTCCAGGGGCCGAATGGCCAAGTCCCCGAGGAGACCGGTCACTGTCTCCCCCACCGTGTCCCCTTCCAGGATTCCTGGCCCTACAGACAGACAGAAAACCACAGCTTCAGTGCCAGGGTCTCCCCTACGCACTCAGGGCCACCCAGGCCCCGTCAAGCTCCTCCTGCCCAAACCCCTCCAGCCTCCACACTGGTTCCAGTGCCCTCCCCCCCGATTGCACTGCCGCCACCTGCCCATGCCACTCTCTCAAGGGCGTTCTCCCCGGGGCCTGAAGGGGACTCTGCCCTCCACCTCTGCCCACTTCAGAGCCGCAGTGCACGGGGCATGCTCAGGTTCCGGGTACCTGGACATGAGGACAGCACTGGGACAGGGAGGGAGCTGCTGTTACTGACTGGGTTCTTGACCACGCAGGTGAAGGTCAGAGCCCTGTCCCCGAGCCTTGAGGAGACACTGAGGACAGATCCTCCACGGGACACCAACAGTCTGGGGTCCCAGAGGTAGCCAGCTGTAGGTCACAGAGCCTCCTCTGCTTTCGGCCTCTCACGTCAGGATGAAGATACAGTGTCCACTCTCACCGATCCTGGAGCTCAGTGTGACACCGGGCCGGGCCAGCTGCTCTGTGGGCACAAAATGAACCAACCGAAGACTGCCGAACTGCCCTGGGCCCTCCCTTCACAGGGCAGAAGGCACAGGGCATTGGTGCCAAGACCCTGAATCATCCTCAGTACACACAAGGAGAAACAGAGGCAGAATCTGCCCACATCTATTCGAGAGCTTTGGGCTCTACGAGACCCTGCCATGTAGCATCATTTGATTCCCAGAACCACCCTATGAAGTAGGTAGCAGAGGTTTTGCACCTACTCCGTTTAACAGGCTCGGGGACCTTCAAGTAACTTGCCCAGAGTCTCGGCTATTACATGATGACTCCAAGACCCAAATCCAGTGGATCTGACCCCAAAGCCTGGGTTCCCACCCCAGCACTGACCACATGAATGCGGCGTGTGCCCACCCACACAGAACTGTGTTGTAATTACATCTCTCTCCAGGAGGGGTCTCTGCAGTACACATCGAGCTTCCGGATGTCCGAGCGTCCGGGTGCCCGTCGAGGCTCCCAGAAGATTTGGCCCTTGGCCTTTGAGGGTTCTTCCACTCCCGTGTACTCCCTTCAACCTGCACCCCACCCCCTCTTCCCCCAGGCCCAGGAGCTCAGGTGGTTCCTTAAGGTTTCCACGTTGCCATTATTTGCCCTCCTGTGTCCCCAGGCCAGAGCCAGGGGGTTGGGGAGTGGCAGGAAGAGAAGCTAAGAGAGTGGTTAGTCAGGGCAGGCTCAACAAAGCCACAGGGTATGGGAGAAGGCCTCTGTTACTCGGCCTCGGCCCTGGGGCCCACCTGACGGCAGCCCCAGCGGCAGCTCAACTGGGCAAAAATAGGACCCCACGGCCCAGAATGTCCCCCAGGGGGAAGGCAGGCTGGCTAACTTTCTGCTGCCGCCCCCGGTGTGGTCTTCCAGAACCCAAACCCTCCCCCCATGACTCCTTCCGCATGCCCTTCTCCCCTCAGCAGCCTCTCTAGCTCAATCCCGTAAATGCAGTGACAAACCAGACACACAGGATGTGGCATCGAGGTGCCTGAGTTCTATTCCCGGCTCTGCCGCCTCTACCTCTGTGTTACTTCTCTCTGAGACTAGTTTCAGCAGCCCAGCAAGAAAAACCCCTCTGCTGCCTGCTGCAGGGCTGTCGTGAGGCTCCAGTGACTTGGGGAACTCCCTGAGAAGAACAAAAGGCTGGCCTGTTACTTCGCTGTAGCCGCTCCACTGGAGCAGAGGGAGAGGGGCTCTCCCCGCAGCCCTGGACCACCCTAGGGAACAGTCCCACCGAGGTCCCAGAAGCCCCGGTGTGCCCTCGAGCTGTCTGCGAACAGGCCATGGCCAGGCCAGGCTTGATGTATGACAGAAAACGCTCTCTCCCCAGGAAGAAAAAAAAATGCCTCATCAAATAGGAATATTTCCTATAACATGACTCAAGCCTGAAAAGCTTCTCTGCTTTCCCTCCATCAGTTCACTTCCCCATGTTCATCCTCACGCATAACTGTACCTTTTTGCTTCCCAGTGTGGGGGAGCACCTCAGCCAGGCCCCTCAGGTCCCTCAGGCAAAGCCTGGAACCACAGCTGATCTGAGTCTTGGCAAAGTGCCCTGTGATCCTCCCAGAAGACGAGAGGATGGTGGCCCGTGAGACCCTGAAACCATCTCCGCTGACCTCCCTTTCTCCCCTGGGAGGCACTGGTGAGTCAGTGTCTCATGAGGAAGGAGCTTCCTGCTCCCACTGCTCAGAACAGAGCTGCAGACCCTGCCCCCTCAGGGCAGTCTAGAACTGCTTCTCTGGCTACAGGGTTTCCAGCACCTGCATTGTGGTCAACTGGCCCCTTTTGTCATTCTTTCTGGTGTGAGGGACCTGGGTTACTCTTTCACACTCTATACGAGTAATAAGCCGTCTGAATCTACAATCAGCTTGTTGTATCTCTACAGGCTGAATCAGCCTGTCCTCCTTGCTGCTGGGGTACCTGCCACCTGCCCCTATGTCTTCGTTGCAGTTTTCCCTCCTGAAACAATTTTTAAGTATCTTTAAGCAATATTCCTGTACACTCCTGTACCTCTGTCCAGAGTGTCCCAACGCTCTTTCTCAGGAGATTATTCTCACCAGATGGGAGTGTTCCTATTTTAGCATCAGGGAACCTCAAGAGCACTCAAGTAGCACAACTGAGTTCTTGGGGCTGAAGTTCCCATTCTCTGTCCACTACACACCCGGGGGTTCTGCTGCCATTGGCCTGGGGCACGTCCTGGGCCTTGTCGTTGTTCAGGAGACTTTCCCAGGCAACTCTGCTTTACATGGTTTGTTGTGTTGTTTTTTTTTATAGTGAGCACATATTAGCCTTGTAATCAGAAAAAGTGTAAATGTTACTAAACGAGATGCGGAAAAGGCTGTGAGAAAGCCTGAAAGATGAGCACTGCCCCACACCCATTGCTGCCCGCCCGCAGGACGCTCACCATAGACTTGCAGTTGGTACTCCCGGGTGCAGGTGATGCGGGAGCTCCTCAGGTTCGTGTGGGCTCGGTAGGGCCCCGCATCCTTCCAGCTCAGGTTGCTGATCTGCAGGGAGTGGCCTGGGCCCACCACACTCACACGACCCCGGTACCGGGTCTCCGCCTCATAAAAGGTGTCTGGCCCCCCTGCTTCTGCCAAGGTTACAATGGCTATGACCATGGAGACGGAACGGGATATCCAAGAGATGCTCTCCACCGGCTCTCCAGCCTGTAGCTGCAGGGGCAGAGTGACAGACCCCCCCTAGGGTCCCAGTTACCATCACAGGGGCTGGGTCCTCTCCGGAAACCCCTGTCCCTGCAAAGACACAGATCAGAAGCCTCAGGGGCAGCCTGACTAAGCCAGAGGCTCACAACAGGCCTGAGAGAGTTCAGGTAAGTGATTATTATTCCCATTTTATAGATGAGAAAACAGAGACCCAAAGAAATTAGGTGGCTTGCTCCAGACCACATAGCTAGTTGGTGAGAGAACAGGAACACAAGTCAGCCTCCTCCCTTTATGCCAAAGTGGTCTTCTTCAGCCTTCACATCAACTAATTCACATATGATACAATAATTAATAGATGCTGTGCTAGGGTTGCAGATGCTGAGTGGAACGGAGAGAAAGGAAAATTCTCGGGAGGTGCCTGGGGGGACGATCTCTGCTGTGACTCTGAGCCACCCTCTTGCTGATCCAGGCAATAGGATCAGAACTCACTTAGCCCAGCCCCACCGCAGCAGGAACCACCTTGTAGCATCCCCCATAATCGCTTGTTCAGACACGGCTGAACAGAAGCCAGCTCTGAGGCTCTGCCTGGGTTCTGGGAACGTCTTTCTAGAAGGAAGGCTAGTGCTGGGCTGGCCAAGCAAGTTGAAGGGTAGTCAGGAGACAGTCATTCAGTACCAGACTACTTGGGAGAAGAGCATAAGCACCAGGGCACCAGTCAGACCGCCCGAGTTCAAACACTTGCTAGGTACCGGCTGTGTGACCTTGGGAGGCAACTTATGCTCTTTGAGTCCTGGCTTTCTCACCTGTGAAACAGGGAGCGCATGCCATCTTCCAGGATTTTGTGAGGGTGAAATGAGATAATGCAAGTAAGTGCCTCACTGTTGGTGTTATTAAAGATTCTTGATGTCGCTGGGACAACTTGGTGGCTGCACCTTGTTTGCATCCTCACCAAAACCAGCCAGCACCCTTGTCGAGAAATGCAAAAAGACCAGCGCTCAATAGTGTGACCGTTGGAGTATATCTGCAACACTGACATGCCGTCCCAGGAAACAGAAAGTCTGAAACTGACCCAGGTGTGCTGCACAGTGGTTTAGAAAGAAAAGGCTGCCTGGCTCAGGGAAGAATCTGCGTCCTGATTCAGAATGGGATGCAGAAGCGCCAGCCGCATCACAGTTTCCAGGCCAGGTGGTGAGTCTCTTTGTCAAAAGTTGACCCGAGAAGTCCTGTGACAGTAGCTGTGGGGATGAGGGGTGGGAGAGGGGTTGCTGTCCCGTGGGATCAGGCACCCCAAGCTGGGCGCAGGCTGGCGTCCCGTGCACCCACCGCAGAATGCACTCGAGAGCCTGGCGTCCACTTCTGTGGAGCTACCTTGGCTCCACCCGGAGCATCATTTGTGCCGAAGGAAGCATACCGAGGCGGAAGCTGTTGGCATCAGCTGCACCCTCCTCGCCCCACACTGGGCCCAGGGCCTGAAATTCAGCCGGAGGACCCCACCGCGACTGAATGGCTCAGGGAGGTGCATGGCTCCTCCCTGCACCCTCCAACGCAGTAGCTCATCAGGCTAATTCAAGCGCTGCTCCCGCGCTGGGCTCCCTGCTCCTGGTCCAGCCAAGCACCCCCCCCCCGCTCCCACCTGGTTTCCTCCAGCCTGTGCTTATTTGGTTTTAAGCATTTACTTCACCCTGATTCATACAGATGCTGTGTGCGTGTCTTTCCACTTGGCTCACAAGCTCACGAAGGGGAGAAGATGGAAGGGAATTAATATCTGAGTGAGGAGGGCAGGCCGGTGCATTAGCCTCAGGGTTAGCTGCCGTGGGCATGTGTGGAACTTCGTGGTCCGAATCCTGATTCTGGGTTCAAGCGAGGAGAGACACACAGGGATACGGTCAGGACACGAATCCCAAATGCCAGGCACCGCGCCAAGTAGGGTAAACACATCATCCTATCTAACTTCCCAACAAACTTGTAAGGTGGGTGTTCTTCTTCCCACTTAAAAGATAAAGATCATGAGACACAAAGAGCTTAAGAAACTTGCCCAAAGTCACCAGCTTGGAAGCAGCAGAGTCCACGTGAGGATCCAAGTTCACCTGACCCCAAAGCTGGTCCTCTGTCAGCGACACTGTGCAGCTGGCAACGGACTTTCATCGTATTTAATTCCTCCCCGGGACCTGTTGAGACCCCTTCCCACCACACACCCAGCACATGACCCGGCACACAAGAACCCCAGTAGATGTTTCCAGAACTGAACTGAAGAACTGTGAACATTTTTTAAGGCAGGACCTGTCTTACCCATTATTTGGCCATATGCCCGGGAGACGCCCCTGTGGGCAGGGACCACCGAGGGCCTGGCCTGGACGCCATGGAGAGAGACACGTTCGCAGATGAGCTTGCACTGTGTGGGGAAGGAAAGTGGGGGTGAGGGGGGCCCTGCAGGAATCTCCCCACCAGTTCTGCTGCCTTGGCCGAGGACACTGTTCTCTGAGTTTCCACGGCGCCGCTGCGTTCCCACAGCCGGCCAGGTGGATTACCAGCCATGCACCAGAAAATGTCCCCTAATCTCCCTGAGCCTCTGTCCATCATCCATAAAATGTGTGTAATCCTGTCTGCCTTATCTATATCACAAGTCTGATGTGGGGATCAGAGGTTTTTTGTTTTGTTTTTTTTAACTTAAGTAAAGGTTCTTTATAAACTGTGATAGGGGCCAAGGGCAGGCCACCCGAAGATGGGCCACTTGGGCATATTGATTATTTAAATAAGTTACTTCAGAGCCAGTGAGCGCAAGGACACTCGGACCCTCCTTTGTCCCCTGAAAGCAGGAAACAAATCTCCCGTGTGAGAGGCAACCCGGCTGGACCAGGAGGTAAAGAGTATCCTGATCACAAGAGGTGGGAAATTTAGAGCCGAGAACACTTACAAACAACCCTTGTCACCTTTTTTTTTTTTTTTTTTACTGATTCACTCCCCCAGCCCAACGTCTGTTTAGAACTCCGTACTAATTAAAGCTCCCAAAGTTAAGTTTTCTTTGTCCTGTCAATTCCTCACAGATTTATTGTCTCTTTGTTTAAAAAGTACAAAAACTGCTTCCTCGGTCATTTTTTTAGGTCTCAATTTCATTATTGGGCCTCCATGCACACGTCATAAAACTTTGGGTTGTTTTTTTTTCCTCCTGTTAATCTGTCTCACATAAATTTAGTTCTTAGTTCAGGTAGGAGACCTTGAGGGTGGAGAAGAATTTTTCCTTCCCTTCACTGCCAAGTTTTAAATGTATCAAGGGATTCGTCAGCAGGCTTAGGGGACCCCCTAAGGGGACAGTCCTGAGGCAGGTGATCTTTGTAATCACACACGCTGGTTTTCCCCTGAAGGAAAATGAAAGCGAAAGCTTGAAACTCTGGAGAGCAAGCTCAGAGCCCGGCCCCTTATGCAGATTTCTCAAACGCTTCGTTCCCCTGACTGGTTCCCAAGCCTGTCTCTTGCCACCGCTCAGGTCGTCGGGGTACAGGAGCAAGCAGTAAGAATCTAGAGGGACAGAAACAGCTGCTAAGTGCCATCCCCTGCTGAGGTCATTTATGGGACACAGAAAGCCCGATTCATGATGAAGGGTCACTCCCGGGGGCTGGTGGGAGAGGGAGGAGAGGCAAAGAGACCTTAGAGGATCATGATTGAAACGGCAAGATGCAGATGGGGCAGGTCCTGGATCTCATGCCTCCACCACCAGCCTGTGTGGGGATGCCCAGGGCTCCCTGTGACTCATTAGCAGAAGAAATGTGAGAGTGACAAGGACGCAGTATGGGCCTGCATGGTCTGAGATGGTAGCAGGTGCGACGCACACACACACACACACACACACACACAACACACACACACAGCCTGGCTCCCAGAAATGTGCAGGCAGGTAGAGGTGCCTGGGAGGTAGCGGCAGGGATAGACTTACCTGTGAAAAGACCAAGCACGAGCAAGGACGCCGGTAGAGAAAGAGCCATAATTGTCACCTGCAGACCGACCTGCCTCAGGCCCGCAGTGAATGTGTAAATGTCGGCTCACAAACATTTCCTCTTTTCAGAGTTCACCACAATAATCACATGTCGCTTTAGAGTCAAAAGATGTAGAAATGAGGGGACATATGAGAAAGGCCAGGGGAGCTATTTCAAAGTCAAACCTTACAATGTCACAGCCATGCTTTAAACCCTTCGGAGGTCCCCCATCCCCTACAAGGTAAAGTCAGGCTCGCAGGCCTGGGGGACGAGGCTTTTCCTGTTCTCTTGCTTCTTGCCAATCTTGGGCTCGTGCTGTGTCACCACGTCTCCCATCTTGGACTCCAGTCACGGCAGACTGTTTCTAGAGTCTCCCCCAAAATCCCCTAGGATTTCCCAGCCCTGTAAATTGGCCCCTGCAAATCTGCTTCCTGGATTGCCCCAGTCTCTGCCACCTGCCTCACCTACCTTACCCTAGCCTTCCTTTCTCATCCTTCAATTCCCAGTGACTTGCTTGGGGTCAGCACACAGTATGGGGCTTTACTTTCTTTTTTTTTTCAGAGTTGAAAACAGATTTTATGATATAGCTCTTCTGCTTGTTTTTCTTTTTTTAAGATATAAATATATTTTTAGTACTATTATTTTTATTCCAGGAGAGTTAACATACAGGATTATGTTAGTTTCGGGTGCACGGTATTGTCATTCAGCACTTCATGCATCACCCGGTGCTCATCACAACAGGTGCACAGCTTCATCCCGTCACCTGTTTCCCCCACCTCCCCCACTCACCTTGGATAAAGTATTTGAATCAATAAATAAGATTCCCCAAATATTTAAAGAAGGCCTGTAAATCTAGTACACTAAGCTTATATGTAGGGTAATTCTTAAGTTGTCTTCAAATACTTCATATAGACTTAGATTCAACTGTAATAGTGCTGTGTGGTGACAGGTGGCCGCATGTATGGTGAGCATAACGTATAGACGTGTCCAGTCATGATGTCGTACGCCCGAAACTCATGTACCATTGTGTGCCAACTGTACTTCAGTAAAATTTATTAATTAAAATAAAATAAAATCACAAACGCAAATCAATTATTCAAACACATAGTTCAAGTCGGAACCACAAACGGTTACTTTAATAAGCTACATGTCTCGAATAATACATATATGTAAACAAAAAGTATTAACTGATACCTTGAACATGCCTGCTCTGAATTCCTTATCTTTCCACGACTGAAAGATTCATAAAGGACACATTTATGTCATCTCTACTCCAGCTATTTTCTGGGACATCTGCTCCATCAATTAAGGTTGCTTAACGACCAGAAACATCACTGAGACATCAACTGTTGGTACCTACCCAGGTCCCTTTACCTGCTTTGTTGACGTCCTCTGAAAGGCTGGTCTCAGGTGCCTGGGTGGCTCAGTCCGTTAAGTGTCCAACTCTTCGTTTCAGCTCAGGTCATGATCTCATGGTTGTGGGATGGAGCTCCGTTGGTCTCTGCGCTCAGCAGAGAGCCTGCTTGAAGATTCTCTCCCTCTGCCCCTCCCCCCACTTGCTCAAGTGTGTGCGTGTGTGTGCAAGCGCTCACTCTCTCTCTAATAAATAAATAAATCTAAAAAAAAAAAAAAAGGCTGGTCTCATAGCCTGTGTCCCTCAATTCAACTTGCCGCACTGTGATATCACCGAATTCTTTCTTTGCTTTACTGTAACTATAGCACTTGATTTGATGTTGCATTTCTTTTAGCTCTTAAGATATTTAACTATCTTTCCACTTAGGTGTAAAAAGCTTTAAACTTGTCGAAATTCTGTATTCTTTTCATATTCTTCCAATCTGCAGGAGTATAAACATGTTAAAACCCCCACATAATATTAAAAGTGAAGTCAAAAAAATACAGTTGTGTAAAATGCAGGGTCATCTTCATTGCAAAGTTAATGAAGGGATGGTTAGGGGCTGGTGGTGAATCTATGCGGCGGAACTTGGGACAGTAGCTGCAGGATCCAAATCAAAGCCCAGGCTGGGATCTGATGCTACCTGGGGGCGATGCCCAGTAGACAGGTGATTCTGGTGCCTGGGCATGGGCCTGGCTGGACTCCCAGGACAGCAGAAGGAATTCCAGAAATTTTCCAGTTATTTGCTCACATTTGCTGACCTGGACCAAGGACATGGTGAAACTGGAAATGCCAAACTCGATTTGCCTCCTCCCTGATTCCCAG